TCAACAAGTAGAGACCTAGAACTTTGTTACAGGTTCGTGCCGATAGGCTCTGAGACTCTGGGCGCCTGGGGTAAATGTGCACTCAAGTTTTTAAAGGAGGTTGAGTGAGGAACTCATTGGGAAAACTAGAGACCCACGAGCAGCCAGTTTCCTGTTCCAGCGCCTCAGTGTCGCAGTTCAGAGGGGAAATGCGTATATATATATATATATATATATATATATATATATATATATATATATATATATATATATATATATATATATATATATATATATATATATATATATATATATATATATATATATATATATATATGTATATATATATTTATATATTACATATATATATATATATATATATATATATATATATATATATATATATATATATATATATATATATATATATATATATATATATATATATATATATATATATATATATATATATCCCATCCAGTTGATGCCTCCACACCCAGTTGATGCCTCCACACCCAGGTGCTTTTTCCACACCCAGTTGCTGCCTCCACACCCAGTCGCTGGCAGTTGCTTGGCCATGACCCAGCGTGTTTGCCCCCCTCTATAGAACAATGCACAGTTTAACTCTCCCAACCGAGTTGAAATGGAAGGGGTCCCAGCGGTCGGGCAGGACTCCACAAGCCTTGAGGTACCAACAACTGCTCCTAAAAGAGGTTTTTGCCGAGTATGCAACAAAAACACCGCTATAAACTCCAACGGTGGTGTCATCCGCTTTCACACCGTCAACGAGGTAAGATGCAATGGTTCCCACCAGCTTCCAAAGGGAAGCAATAGCCAGCTGCCATTAACAGTTAGAGAAGAGACTCCCATTAACCTAATCTCATCTGAAAACCTCACCCAAGCGATCATAGCGACGTCTGCTAGAACATTACCACACATCTCAAAAGCAGCCCGCCCAAATGCTGCAGCCAAACTCTGTAATCTTCTGAAAAGGGTCAATGATGCCCCGGAAAACATTCAAGCGTGGCATAATGTCCTTCTGTTTGGCAATGTATGCCTCACCGTCCCTCCAAGGAGGGACAAATCACTTGCTTCCTCGGTCCTGAGGGCGATAAATGAATACCCAAGGGGGGACAACCTAGTTTGCCTGCCTCTCCGAGCAAAACACATCCACCGCAGAAATGGTAACAACAACATACCGGGAACGTACAAAATCAGAGCACAAATCACCAAGAAAATTGAAGAGGGAAATACCCCAAGTGCTATTAGAGTCCTCACCAGTGACGAGAAAATTGCTCCTCGAAACTCAGCCACAGCACGGGCCCTGCAAAGCAAGCACCCACCCAGAGCCCCTCAAGGCGACAACATCGTTCTGCCATCAGCCGACACCATTTCAGACCCATTAATCGTTGGTGAATCTGAGGTCTACAGAGCAGCCCTTTCTTTTCCACCTGGGTCAGCAGGCGGCTTTACAGGGTTAAAACCTCAACACATCAAGCAAATGTTAAATCCTGCGGTTGGTGATGCTGCACAAGATCTTCTTATGGAACTCACAAGGTTCGTCAACATGTGCCTGGCTGGTGAGATACCTGAGGTCATCAGATCTCTCTTTTTTGGTGCCTCCCTCTGTGCTCTCAAAAAGAAGGACGAAGGAATCAGGCCAATCGCTGTTGGCAACACTCTCCGACGCCTGATTGCCAAGGCTGCTACGAGGGTAGTCAGCCAGCAAGCGGCTGATTTGCTGAAACCAATCCAGCTAGAATTTGGAATCCCCCAAGGCTGTGAAGCGGCTGCCCATGCAGCACGAGCATACATCACCAACATTTCTGATGAAAAGGCCCTGCTCAAACTGGACTTTAAGAATGCCTTCAACATGGTCAGAAGAGATGCAGTACTTTGTGCCGTACATCGCCATTTCCGGCCCCTCTGGTTGATACCTGGTTGATACCTGGTTGATGGGGTTCTGGGAGTTCTTCTACTCCCCAAGCCCGGCCCGAGGCCAGGCTCGACTTGTGAGAGTTTGGTCCACCAGGCTGATGCTTGGAGCGGCCCGCAGGCCCACATACCCACCACAGCCCGGTTGGTCCGGCACTCCTTGGAGGAATAAATCTAGTTTCCTCTTGAAAATGTCCACGGTTGTTCCGGCAATATTTCTTATGCTTGCTGGGAGGACGTTGAACAACCGCGGACCTCTGATGTTTATACAGTGTTCTCTGATTGTGCCTATGGCACCTCTGCTCTTCATTGGTTCTATTCTACATTTTCTTCCATGTCGTTCACTCCAGTACGTTGTTATTTTACTGTGTAGATTTGGTACTTGGCCCTCCAGTATCTTCCAGGTGTATATTATTTGATATCTCTCTCGTCTTCTTTCCAGTGAGTACATTTGGAGGGCTTTGAGACGATCCCAATAATTTAGGTGCTTTATTGCATCTATGCGTGCCGTATATGTTCTCTGTATTCCCTCTATTTCAGCAATCTCTCCTGCTCTGAAGGGGGAAGTGAGTACTGAGCAGTACTCAAGACGGGACAACACAAGTGACTTGAAGAGTACAACCATTGTGATGGGATCCCTGGATTTGAAAGTTCTCGTAATCCATCCTATCATTTTTCTGGCTGTCGCAATATTTGCTTGGTTATGCTCCTTAAACGTTAGGTCGTCAGACATTATTATTCCCAAATCCTTTACATGCTGTTTTCCTACTATGGGTACATTTGATTGTGTTTTGTACTCTGTATTATGTTTAAGGTCCGCATTTTTACCGTACCTGAGTACCTGTCTGTGCTCTGAGTACCTGTCTGTCTCTACTGTGCCTCTACCCGTTCATACTATCGTGCTACAGTGGTGAGTCAAAACTGCTCTTTGGTGAACATGAAATCAGATCATGTGAAGGTGTTCAGCAAGGGGATCCTCTTGCTCCCCTTCTTTTCTGCTTAGTCTTAAAAGAAATCACCGAAAGCTTGTCCAGCGAGTTCAACATCTGGTTTTTGGATGATGGCACCATAGCTGGCACCGTAGACCATCTCTTGGCAGATATCAGGAAAATAAGGGAGCAAGAAGTAAGCCTGGGTCTTGTCTTGAATCCTTCCAAGTGTGAAGTAGTCTCTTCCAACCCAGACATCGTAGCTAGAATAAGGTCTGCCTTGCCTGGAGCCCATGTCATTAGGGCCGAGAACAGCACCCTCCTTGGAGCCCCCCTCGGGTCTAACGCCATTGAGGAGATCCTTGACAAGAAAATCGCAGACCTTAGGAGGATGGAAGACAGAATAGGTGACATCGATGCCCACGATGCTTTTTATCTCCTCACCAAATGCCTATCCCTTCAGAGACACCTACTTTCTGAGGTGCGCCCCATCTTACGACAGCCGAAAGCTTGAAGAGTATGACCTCTTACTGAAGACCATGCTGGAAAAAGTTGTTAACCTCTCCCTCAACGAATGCCAGTGGAAACAAGCCACTCTTCCTGTTAGGCTCGGTGGCATGGGTGTCCGCACCGCCACCCAAATTGCTGTCCCAGCCTTCCTGTCTTCCTCCTCAGCATCAGATGACCTGGTTAAGGAAATTCTACCTGACACCCTGAGTGATGTAGCAGGGATACAGGACCCCCACTACACGGAATGCGACACGAAATGGGGTGCCATGGCAGACCCAGCACTCAGACCAGCCATGCCGAAAGCCAAGAAACAATCCAGTTGGGACAGCCCCATTGTAGACAAAGAAGCCACAGCTTTGCTGGAGGCAGCAACAACCCCCAGTGATCGTGCACGCCTCACAGCTGTGCAGGCTCCCCATGCAGGGGACTTCCTTTTGGCAGTCCCTATGTCTGCGACAGGCACACGTCTTGATCCGCAGGAGCATTAAAAGAAGCCTTGCCTCTGCTCAGTGTCCAGCGGAGAGAGAGCCCCGCAACCTACTGAACCGTGACTCTGTCAGCTTTGCCGGCCGACCAGACAGAATCACACTGCGACCGTGGAAGGGTGGCAGACAGTTGGCATGGGACTATACTTGTGTATCCACCCTGGCAACCACATACATCAACCTCTCTGCCGGCACAGCAGGAGCCGCGGCGACACGCAGAGAAAGAGACAAGTCAGCCAAGTACAGGCAATTAGATCATCGGTACAACTTCGTTCCAATAGGGTCTGAGACCCTAGGCCCATGGGGTGAGAGTGCAAGAAGGTTTCTTAAGGATCTTGGTTCCAAGCTCATTGACACCACAAGAGACCCTAGAGCAGCAAGTTTTCTCTTTCAGCGCCTCAGTGTCACGATCCAGAGGGGGAATGCTCGCTGCATCCTCGGTTCCTGCCCGGCGTCGGAGGAGTTCGAGGAAATCTACAGCCTCTAGGAAGCGAACTTTTTTTTGTGTCCTCTTAATGTTAATTTTTTGTATAAAATCAGATATGTAACTGTATAACCTTGCATAATAAAGTGTACACCATAAAAAAAGGGGGGGGGGGGTGGTAGGAGAAGCGAACACTCTTACGTATTCAGAGTTAAATGGCAAGTTTTTCCCTGAATGCTCTGTGTTCCCTTCTCTGAGGCTGTGGGTCCCTATAATTGCACCAGTGGTGGTACCCCCCCTATATATATATATATATATATATATATATATATATATATATATATATATATATATATATATATATATATATATATATATATATATATATATATATATATATACTGTATTAGGAGAGGTTAGGTTAGGGCTTAGATTTATGTTGCTGCTAAGAAACGTTTCTAGTTTGTCCAAATTCAGTCGCACAAAAGTTATCTTCCTATTGGTCCAACAGTACATATTGGTACTTTCTCCCAAATAGGTACTATAAGCACCTTCGTTTTAGGGTTGAGCTGCTCTAATGATACAATATACATATTTTTTTGCATAATATTAAAAAATGAAAACAAATTAGAATGTTGAAAAAACGACGTGCACCAGCAAGAGTAGGGACAATACTGTAACAGACAACGCTGGAAGCTCATCATCTAGCTTCTGTCAGGTTTTAAATATTTTATCAGCTCTCACCTGTTTTTCCAGACACCTGTCGCCCTCGATAAACCAGATGTGAACTCCCACAGGAGTTTCTTCCTTCCAGCGAGCAACCATAGTAGCTCTGATGTCCGGCCATAGTCGGCTTCTCATGATCCACGAGTCATTCATCTTCTGCATTACCATGTGATTATACCCGTCCAGCAACCACTCAAAATTTTCATTGTCTCGGAAAGAGAAGACACGGTCTAGTGCAGAATCTTTACACAAACCGCGTAGTCGCATTTGAGGAATGGCAGTGAAGTTACAGAGAATACAAGTTTCTATATTACATGGGCTGGCAGCCCACTTGTACTTCTCGTGTGTTATTGCTGCAATACACTTGAAAAGTGTGGTCACTGTTTTATATTCTCTTATAAATTGGTACCACTTTAATGGGGTTCCGTCTGTGAGCTGGAGCCACTGCTGTGTTGTGAGGTTCCCTCCAGCACCAATCCAGTAGAGGTGCGTCCAGGAGTAGGCACATTGATCCTTGTAGCTAACAAACTTGTCAAAGAAAAATGCATTCGTCTCGGCATCCTCTGGCAGGATAATACTTCCCTTCAGCTTCCTGCACCATGCGTATGCATTTTTAAAGTTCATTTTCTGCGAAAAAAATAGATAGAATCCAGTAATATTATTACTACACAATTCGCTCATTTCTATGGTTCTAGTCATTGTGGGGCCTTTCACCATAAAGCTGTTACTTTCCAAGTCAATTAATGGCTTCCTGAGGTCTGTTACATCTGTGCAGTTGAGTAATTCGTTCATGTGAGTGGGCTTCAGGGCGACATCATAGATCCTGTAGTCAGCGATCTCTCCGTCCACGATCTCCCTCACTAGAAAGCCTCCCTCCATAGAATATAGTCTCTGGCCCACAACGAGGCGGCCGCCAGCCCGCACCTCCAGACGCTTCTCGGAGGTCAGCTTCAGCTCTTCGTGGTACACCTGATAACCAAAAACATATTTATATAGTTTTCCAAGTAAATGTGAAAGAGAAAAGGTAACAAATACAGATTATCTTATAATATTCTCACATAATTAGCACTGCAAGTTTTTATATAATTCATAATTATTATTATCAGCATTCGGCTATTATTACGTTTTTTAGTATAAAAATATGATGATTGATATTTTTATTAATTTAAATCCATATGTGTAAAACTATCAATTGATTGATAGATCTTTATCAATAAAAGTGAATGTCTATCTATCTATCTAAAGTAGCCACACGCTTGGGGCTAATCTCACCCAACTTCCTAACATAAAGCATCTTTACTCAAAAACAATGCAAATGAATTCATTTTCAAATGAATTATAGCATTACCTTTTCTGGGAGAGATAAAGAGAGAGAGAGAGAGAGATAGATAGATAGAGAGAGAGAGAGAGAGAGAGAGAGAGAGAGAGAGAGAGAGAGAGAGAGAGAGAGGGAGAGAGAGAGAGAAAGAGAGAGAGAGAGTAAAGTGGAGAGGAATAAGAGGGGAGGACGGAGGGCTGAGGAGAGCAGAGGGGAAGATAGGGCAAGAAAAGGAAAGAGAGGGGAAATTAGGATAGAGATCAGAGAGTATAAGCAAGACCAAGATGCAGCATGGTATTCTGTCTCTTTATTTCTATAAGAGTGAATGTGTGTTTGTCTATTTACCTGTCCGGGGCTGAAAGCCAGATGCTTGGTTCTAGGCTCATACAACTTTCACACAAGAATCTTGTGGAGCAGCGGAGAGTTATAAGCTTTTCAGGGTTGGCCCAAGTGAAAAGGTTTAGGAAATATTGACATTTATAGAATCCCCTTTTGCTATTTTCATGAAGTCGGTTGAACTATTGGTTGTATCCTGTAGAGTTGTTTCAGTGCTTCATAATAAAATTTCTGAGAAAAAGAGATGAGATGGGATGGGGAAGGAAGAGGAAAGGGAATGTGGGGAAGAGGGCCAGAAGACGGAGGTGGGATGAAGAGAGGTAAAGAATCTCAGACTCCCCTTTTATATTATCTATATTTATCACTCATGTGTATTATTTATATTTGCCACTCTTACAAATATCTATATTTGAATGAGTGATAAGATACTTATCAGGAGGAAAAACAATGCTTTTACCACTTTATAGCACTTGGAAGGGCTATGAGAACAAGGATTTAGGATCCGAGGGAAGGAATGGTGCTCAACCACTTGGATGGCCTAGGATTAAACACCAAGCTGCAAAAAGTCAGACCGTCGGTCTACCGTCCATTCCATAAGTCATGTCGCTGTAAATGGAACTGCACTTATTGCTCATGGTCATCCCCTGCATTGTTGGAATCTGCTCATCCCTGTTATCCATCACTTTGCTGGTGATATTGCTGCACATCGAACTGCATTGATTGCTTGTGGCCGTTTCTTGTGTTGTCGGAGTCTGTGTATCTCTTCCATCCAGTATTTCGTTGTTGATGATGCTTCATATTGAGCTGCATTGATTGTTCATGCCCCCCCTCTTGTGTTGTTGGAACCTGTGCATTTCTGCTGTTCAATGTTCCTTTGTTGTTGTTGTTGTTGTTGCATATCAGACTGCATTGGCTGTTAATGTCTGTCTCTTGTGTTGTAAGATTCTGTTGATCTTGAGTGGTCACTGCTTCTTGCAGTTGCTTTTGTGAATGTTGATGGTCTGGTGTCTTGACTACCCGACTGTTGTTGGTATTCAGTATGACCGTGTCGCGTTGTTTGTCCTCTTGTGCTTTGTCTTGTCTCGGACTGTCTATTTCTTGTGTAACTGTGGTCTGCTGCACGATCTTGTCCATTATTACACAAGTGATTTCTTGACTCTGTTGTTGTGAGGCGTTCTGCGTCATCTGTAGGCAATTGATAATGGTCTCTGCCATGATCTTCACGATGTTTTTCAGCTGGACCTCGGGGGTAAAACTGTAAATGTGTTGTGTTGATTACAAATGTAATTGCATTTTGCTTTTTTCCTTTAGTTGTTTTTCTGCAGCATTTTTGTGTATTTTCTGATTTGGAACTGATAGATTCAGGAAATTTTGTTCTGTGAGAATGGGTCTCTGTTGTGGCTGTGCTCGAGTGTTCCAGACGTTGGTGTTGGTGTATGTACTGATAATCTGTGTGTTTATCCTGGCCAGTGCTGTCTGCACCTTTTCTTTCCGTGTAGAGCAGGTTATGCTTCAGGCATGATGTTTGCCTCCACAATTTGAACTTTTGGCTGTTGTGGTCTGTTTTGCCGCCTTGTGCTTGTCTGTATAGTCTTTGGTTAGATGTCTCAAGCAGCACACTCCGCATCTCTCCTGTTAGGTGTAGCATGGTTCATGGTGGCCGTATTTGTGACATTTGAAGCAGAGCAGGGTTTCTGGAACGTATGGTCTCTGTCTGTATATTACCCATTTTCCAAGACTGAATGTTTCTGGCACATGTCCCATGACGGTCACTAGAATCTGACGTGTCGCTACTTTGTTTACTTCTGTGCGGCATCGCTCCGCATTCAGGATTTGCGGAGCGATGCCGCACAGACGTAGGTACAGGTTCTAGTACTGGATCCAATGGAAAGTCGATTGGATATCCCAAAATCACGACTCGTGTGCTTCTTTCTGAAGGGTCCATCTTTTCCAAGCATACAGGTTTCCCTTGCAGGATTGTTACTTTTTCTAAGTAATTTGCCGTCTGTTGGTCTTGTGGTGACATTATAATTTCTCCTCTCAGGTTGATTGTAATGGAAAGTTTGAGCTTTGGTTGTTCCTTTTCCATTGCCGTTACTACTACATACGCTCTAGGAAAGTGGTCTGTCTGAATTATCTTGAATTTTGGAAGATATGTAGAGTGTGACGATGTCTAGTGTGAGACTGGTGGTGGTGTCCTCTCCTTCTCATAGTGTTGTCCTGTGGCTGGGCTGTGGAGAGAGATACGTTGTCTTACAATGGCTGGTGTATGACTGATGCTGTCATCTCCTGTCTCATACTGTCGACTTGTGATTGGGTTGTGGACAGAGAAGCATTGTCTGACACTGGCTGGTGTGTGACTGATGCTGTCCTCTCTAGGTCTATTATGTCTGCTGTCTTGCTGGTAGAAGCACGTGGTGAAGCCTCGATAGCAGTTTGCTTCGGAGATTGCTGCACCTCAGTCCACTGTCCCTACTCGTCTAAAAGCTGCCTCCGTTGCCTCTTTCTTTTTGACTTCCCCGCTGAAATGGTGATACTCAGAAGCCATAAGCCTAGCCATAAGCCTAGGTAAACCTTTTACAAAGTGAAATTTGAGGCTTAATACCAAACATCAATAATATAAGTAGCATACATTTACTAAAACAAGATTTACATCTGCTTATGGCCAACAAAATGCTGATGACAGTTACGTTGTGGCAACACTCCTGATTGCCATAACGTAACGCATGTGTGTTAGCAGGGATAGAGGTGATGGGGGGAAGGGCGTGTGTGAGAGCAATGAGAAAGATGACTAGTAAAGAGGATATGTGATCAGGAATAAAGGTAACAGAGGGAAGGGCAATTGTGAACAGGGAGAAAGGACACTGAAACGACACTACAGTGACACTGAAAATACTATTTCTAGTATCTCTGTAGCACATTCGGGTACTCTGTTTCTACAAGTGTCCCCTTGTTTGAGTTTTACCCGTGCTAAAAAGTTTGTCATGGTCCACCCTGTCAATTCCTCAGAGAATGTTGTAGGTGATCATGTCTTCCTTAACACTTTTGTCTTCCAGGGACGTAAGGTTAAGTTTCCGTAGCCTTTCCTCGTAGTTCTTACCTCTCAGTTCCGGGACGAGTCTGGTGGCATAACTCTGAATCTTCTCTAACTTTGTCTTGTGTTTAACTCGGTATGAACTCCGGGCTGGAGCTGCATACTCCAGGATTGGTCTGACATTAGTGGTATAAAAGGTTCTGATTCCTTACACAATTTCTGAAGGCAGTTCTTATATTGGCCAATCTAACATATGCCGCTGATGATATCCTTTTAATGTGGGCTTCTGGGGGACAGGTTCGGTATATCAACCCCCAGATATTTCTCTTTACTTGACTCTTGCTAGATTTTACCTCTCAGATGTGTAAGCAGGGAGTGAGGAGATGGTGGAAAGACGTGTGTGAGCATGGAGGTGAAGGTTCCTCATTCTGTGCGAATTAGAAAAACAGATTTTGGAAAGGAGTGTGCGAGCAGCAAGAGATGAAAAAGGGGTAAGGATTTTTGTGGGTAGGGTGGAGAGGATATGATGGAAAGATGTATATGGGAAGGAAGGGAGAAGATGAGGGAAGTGTGTGTGTACTCACCTAACTGTACTCGCCTAATTGTGCTTGCGGGGGTTGAGCTCTGGCTGTTTGGTCCCGCCTCTCAACCGTCAATCAACAGGTGTACAGGTTCCTGAGCCTATTGGGCTCTATCATATCTACACTTGAAACTGTGTATGTCGCCCCACACACCCTCCACATGTCGCCTCACACACCCTCCACATGTCGCCTCACACACCCTCCACATGTCGCCTCACACACCCTCCACATGTCGCCTCACACACCCTCCACATGTCGACCCACACACACTCCACATGTCGCCCCACACACCCTCCACATGTCGCCTCACACACCCTCCACATGTCGCCTCACACACCCTCCACATGTCGCCCCACACACCCTCCACATGTCGCCCCACACACACTCCACATGTCGCCCCACACACCCTCCACATGTCGCCTCACACACCCTCCACATGTCGCCTCACACACCTCCACATGTCGACCCACACACCTCCACATGTCGCCCCACACACCCTCCACATTCGCCTCACACACCCTCCACTTCTCCTTCCCATGTCGCCACACACACCTCCACATGTTGTGTGTGTACACTGTGTGTCTGTGTGTGTGTGTGTGTGTGTGTGTGTGTGTGTGTGTGTGTGTGTGGTGTGTGTGTGTGTGTGTGTGTGTGTGTGTGTGTGTGTGTGTGTGTGTGTGTGTGTGTGTGTGTGTGTGTG